TGTGTAACTGGATCTCTTTCTAACAATTATAAACACTTGTGCCAAGTATGTACATGTGGCTTGTAAATCTCATGGCTACGTGTAGAAGGCACTGGAAGATTAAGTTTTTTTCTTAAACGTTTCCTCTGAAACAAAGGAACTATAACCTAGGTACAATAAAAATTCAAATTATTACACAAATTATTATGTTAATTTCATTGAAATACATGGATAGTAAAATTGTTTAATTAAATTATGAATTTAACTCAGTTCCATATGGAATTTAAAAATGGTGCTGGGAGCAATAGTGGGTAGACTAATGACAAAAGGATCAAGTTCTGAGAGAGTGATGAGGGAGAGCCATTCAGCCTACTCAAAGTTGGGTGGAATCAACCATGGCTGATCTCCCCCAGAATGATGGGAAAATGATCACTGCCCTATAGGTCACTGTCATTAGAAAAAGGGAAGGGGGACAGATGGACAGATCAATAGTAGTAAAAGACTGACTAGGTGTGTGAAAATATGTACATGAATCAGTACTGAAGAGATGTTGTAATCCAAGAGCATACGATCCACATAATGACCCTTCCCATCAATATCAGCACCACTCTAAAGGGATTTGTGTTTATTAAAGTCTCCCAAAATGAAGAACGGAGCTGGCAACTTTTCAGTACGATCATCAAGATTCACTTGACCATAATCCTCTCATGATGACAAGTAGAGAGAACAAATTATGATGGTATGATAAATGGAGACAAGGACAACAACAGCCTCCAGTAGCACAGACATAGTAGGTGCATGCTGGTCAAACAGTAGTGCCACACACCCACAAAAAATTATCCATCACACAACCTGTCATTCCTGTACAAGAAAAATTGCCAAAGGATGAAAGCATTGTCAGGTCAAAGGAATGTTTCCTATAAGGAGACACACAAGAGAATGATAATAATTGATCAAGGCCTTAATGTAATATAAATTAGGACAGAAACCTTAACATCAAAGAACCACGACAGGATGTCTTAGTGTGTCTAAACTGCTGACATTGGAAACATCGGAGAAGATTAGGAATATAGGGTTGTACCTTACAGTTAAGTAACCTGTTTTGACAGCAGCAGGCATATGTGGCAATTTAAATACCAAAATAAAAACTTGGGTAGGTCATATTATTCGATCTTTATGAGTAGAGATACATTGCACAGTTGAAACTCCTTGGTTTGAGAAACCAGCAAGAATCTCTAACTAAGGGATGTTAAGTCCCTCTCTATGATTATTCCTCTTGAGAAATTTGGTAGCATGGGAAGTTACCTCAATAGCCATATTCTTGATGGACTTTGACCTCTATGATGTGGCGTAGAGGTTTCAACCAAGATGTCCCCAGATCTTAGCTTCTTGACTGACTTAGCTGATTGAAAAAGAGAGAAATTTGCCCTAAAGGTTTCTCAAACAAAGAATAAAGAATTAGAAATTGAGGTACAATTATAGGAGATGATGATGGCAGTGGAACAGTCTTCAATTTGTGGTAATTTTCCAATCAGTTTTTTTATTTTCATGATTTGAGCTATCTGTAATAAGGTGAATGAGATTGAATACCCATCCACCATAAAATCATACAAGGGGACATGCTACATCGTCAAATGAGGACAGTGCAGCAATGCCAGGGTTTTGTGGGCACTATACCCAAACACCAGCACCAGATATAATGTCCACAAAACCTGTTGAGAACATCCACCTCTGGCACTCAGTTGAGTCAAGCCTAACAGGATCAGCTGAATGACCTAGAGCGAGCCACCTGTCTACAGGAATTCAAGGCCAAAGTAGTGTGTTGCAGTGCCCCTGACACCACTCAACCATCAGGATCCCCCCCCCCTTATTGGGTGCTATGCACGACAAATATGTGGGTGTATGTTTAGATCCCAGAAGAGGTAAACTATACAGACAGAACCTTCCCTGGGAGATCCCCTCACCATGTACAGGAATCCACACCGAGGAGCTGGAACAAAGAAGCATGAAACTTGATTGACCAGATTGCAATGTTCTGTTACACAAACTACAACTGGTTGTTGCAGAAGAAAGGAAATCTCATTTACACACAAGACAGAACTGTTAAGTAGATATCATACTGTTTAGTCAAAGCAAAAGTTATTAATACAATGTTCCACAGCCCTAGATTACACTCATTCTCATAATATATTCAAAAGAGATTAATCCCTAACTCACACTAACTGGTAGAGGCCCTTGTATCACTCCTTAAATACAACTGCATTTCAGGGAAGCTGTGACACAGAAACAGGGTCAATCAAGTACCAGTTTTCATGGATTGACCACTGTGGTATATGCTATTTTATAGAGGATGAGCATAAGTTTATGACCTATCACAGATTTTTTCTGAAAACACCAAATAATAACATGCAGAACACCTAGATGAGAATTAAGAAAAATTATTTGAATGTAAAAAAAAAGTATAATCATTCCTAGTTTTGTGAAATTGAGCATCACAGTATCATATCTATTTTTTGACTTCATGCTACTTACAGATCAGCTAAGTCCTTATTCAGATATGTATCATCTTTCCTTCTATTTTTATATTCTACTTTCCATTTGTATGTGCATTGACATACAGTCTCTCCACAAAAATCATGCTATCTGGTTAATTCATTTCACATATTCATAATGTTATAGCTAAATTCACTAAACTATTTTAATCATAGCTGGTATATGCATACATGAAAACATATGTATTCCAATAACAACTTACTCTGTGCAACAAATAGCATATAACTGAAGTGCTGTATGGTTGATTAGCTGGTGGTTTGTTTAGTTTAAAACATCATTGCTTCATAAGTTAAGATAGTCATCATATTATATTTTGCATTGTGACAAAACTTTTTATGTTCTTTCTTCATAATTGTAGAGTTAAAATCATGCCTTTACATTTCAATAATTTTCTAAGTGAATAAGATATTATACATCAGTTCTTCTTCCTGTGTTGGATATTATCTAAAATAACACCTAATAACAATAACTACATCATTCCAAGTTCAAGTTCCTTAGTCTCCCATTGAAAACACAATAATAAATGTATAAGACATTCATCTACATCATAACAATTATTTAGGTCTGTTTTAACAATATGCACTTTGTGTGATAGCACTTATCTATTGTTCAACCACTATAATTAGTTACCCTTACTGTCTTCAACTTCACTTTAGTGTCTGGAATTGAATTACGTATATTGCAAAAACAAAGCAGGCATACTGGGAAAAGACAAATGTATTCAAGGACTAACTTAGCATTCTTTGAGACAATGAATAAGTTATGTTTGTGGTATTTTAAAAGTGGCACCTAGTTCTTAATATACAGATTTCGTTCTAAGTACAGTAATAGACAGCCCAAAGTGTACAAATTACCTTTACAGTATAATTTCAGCAGTAATATACAGTTTATATAACTTGAAAATGTTCCAAATGTAAAGAAGACTACAAAAATATTTGTATTTGAGTATACAAGTTACACACACACCTTCAGTACATATCACACACACATGCATAGGCATCTAGCCATAAGCTAATAAAAACTAGGATAAAAAAATTCTAAAAAGAAAACAAGAGTACTGTTTGCTATTAACAACTCAATATGAGGGTAAACATATTTTTATTATTTCCAATGCATAAAAATTAAGTCTGTGAACTGTTTTTACTGGAATGTTTAACAATAACAATGTAGTTTTTTTTTTCAATGCGTGTAGAATTAGTCATCACATTCTTAACTATAAATATATATTGACATATTTAGAAATGAATTATTCCACTATTGCTTATTAGATAAAACATATTCTATTTATAATAACCATCTAATAACAAACTGTTGAACTTTTCTTGATCTTTTAACTTTTAGAATCATCTTGTAAATTTTAATGAAGGCTATTCAGCATAGAAAAATAAGGACCTGTCTGTGGGTTGACAAGATGTCAAAATTAGAGTCAGCCTTGAAGTATTATGTGATTGACATAAAATATCCAACTTCCACAGATATCATATCAAATTAGTTTTTATAATGTCATCTGTCAAATGTCTTGGATTTCTAAGTGGGATTTCTACTGAGTTACTATTGTATGGTGTTTAGATAATTGCAAAACAATAAAAAATTACAATTAATAAATATTCTCATAACTTTGACTCAAACTCCAAGCTTCTATAAGTTCTTTTTACTTGAAATAACGAACAAATTTGCAATGAAAATATTAGCAGGGTTTCTATGTTCTTCAGAAAACTACTGAGTGAAAGCAAAAGAAAATGTGTTATAATATATCAACCACACTTACATCTGCTATATCCAGTGCCAACAAAGTTTTTGCCCAATACTAAGGGTATGAGGTTTCTTGTAAAGTCATAACCTATACCTTTCTCAGTTCTACTTGGTTATCAAAGTGAATAGTTCTACAGAGATCTATCTTTAGGGAAAAAAGCTGTCAATCCATTCACTGATATAGTAGTAAAGCAAATATCTCATGTCTATGCAAGTTACTAACAGTTTTTCTACTTTGTTTTTAATAAAGATCATTTCACTCAATATCACACATGTCCAGTCTTATTTCTCACATTGCTTAAATACTCAGTTGATTTTTAAATTTGGCTCACTTTGTAAATTTCCTGTTTGAATCTCCTGTTATTAAGCATATCTATCTGATGCTGTGCAGAAGTCAGTTTACATTATAACTCTTGTTACTGTGCTCTCTCTCTCTCTATAAGGTATTAAAATTCATTCAGCTACATGCTTTATACATAATATAATTACATATATAAAGCTCTACTGTGTTAAAGTGAATGAAATCTTAATACAATAATCTATATAAAAGATTTTTTGTTATTATAGAGTTCAAACTGACTTGCTCAATATTTACTGCAATTCTAACCTGTTTTGTGCAGTCTCAAGATTCTATAAGCTAGCTTACTCTATTTTTTTAAATGCAAATGAAAGTTCAGTAATTTGGAAGGATGGTCAAAATTTGTAACATTTCTTACCTTCTGAAGATTTGCAAGGCTAACACGCGTTTTCTTTATAGTAGCAGTATCTGTGGATGATCCAGTAAGGTCGCTGTCTTGAGATCTTGGTCGTGTATGACGTTTATTTAAAATTCGTGGGTCTTCTTCTTCCTCTGCAACTGTGGTTCCCTACAAACCAGAATATGTGGTTCACAATATGGTTCTGCATATTTATGATTGGTATTCTTGATAATTCTAACTACAATTTTCGAATTGTGAAAAGTTCACAAATCCATTTACACATTAGATCTACGTATATGCACACATTTTTATATCTGACTTCAAATATGAGATTATTTCTAGATCATAAGAAATAGAATGATCCAGAAACAATAGTTTTTAAATGTTTTTTATTGATTACTTAACTTGTAACAAAAATTGTTTATTTATATATCATTTTAAAACTTTTGTTAAAAAATAAGAGAAATGAAAAAAATTACAGAGGCAATATCACATTGAAAATATTTGGAAAAATGACACCTTTTTCAAGGCCTAAGAAACAACTACTTTAAAATTCTTGCATTTAAAATCACAGGGAAAGGGAAACAATGTAACATTAATCAAATTTCTCACACTGAGATGTAAGGCTTCTAGTTAATTTTTTCTTTAAAAACTACTTTCCTGTGATTTAGGTGTTTTTTGTTAAAAGTCTACCATGAAGTTTCTTAAGTACAGCTTTGCTTGTTATGGATTTCGCGCAGAGCTACACGAGGGCTACCTGAGCTAGCCGTCCCTAATTTAGCAGTGTAGGACTAGAGGGAAGGCAGCTAGTCATCACCACCC